TCGCATGATTATATAGTCACCCAAGATTTTATTCAAGAAGTGTCTTCAGGGTTCACAGATGAGGAAACCATCGAAGTCATTGATGTACTCACTACCAATATGACAATAGAAGTTGAGCTAGCTCATTTGTTTCTAAAAGTAAGTATTGAAGGAAAAAATACTATACAAGCTAAACAGAAAGAGATTTCATGTCATTACTTATATGGAAAAAGATTTGAAATGGGAGTTCAAGAACTTATGGTAAAGGAAAACATTTCAGAACAGACAGCAAGAAAATGATTATTCCAGGATATAATAAAACATCTTTCTGGATTAACTTTGAAAACCTTACGTAAAAGAACCCAAAGATCTATAAAACTTTACAAATTAATCAAAAAGATAGGAGTTGATAAGATTAAAAATATCAAGATATTCAGTGCGGATTCTATTTTAAAGTTTATACAACCTCAAATTCAAATAATTCTGGATTATTTTAATGAGGGTGAAAAAGTGAGACCAAAAGTCCTACTAGAGCAGAATGGCGTTGTCAATCATGTATCTAATACAGATTCTACTAATATTATCAGCAAAGCTGACATGACCAAGAAGACCTCACCGATAGCTCAGACAAGTGCACCACCTATATTTGAACCAGAAGTTGATGTAAGTATATCTCCTGCTTCTGTCAATTCGAAAACCAAGATAAGTGCGGGATCTATATCTGAAATTGAAAAGAAAACTTTACCCCAAAAGGCCTTACCTGAAAAACAGAATAATCTAGCTTATGATCGTGCTTATTTTTGTAATAAAATATTAGGTCAATATCCTGATATACATAGAGAATTTAGTAGTAAAAAATTCGATTATTATAGAATTATTGACAAGTCATTATGTCCAGCATGCAAGTTGAGTCATAGGGATAAGAAAAGTATAAGAGGTAGATATGAAGCTGGATCTTATTTTATTAAATGTGAACAACAAGAAATTGAAATAACTGTGTAAGTAAATAATTACATAAATCTGGTCAAGTGGATAGTGATATATTTTTCTTGACAGCTATGTGATTTTAAATTGATTTGCATTAATATAAACCGATAACATGTCTTCTGATATTTCCTCCAGCAAGATATTAACTGATGACTATTGCAAATAGCATGCTAACTTAGTTAATTTACCAAGTTCTCAGACAGATAAAATTCGTTCTAGATTCTATAAAGCATATATGGAAGAGACTAGACTTGATCTTTGGATAAAGTCTGAAACTTCTGAATCTACACAAAGCAAAAATGCTGATAATCATATCATACAAGACAGTTCATTGGTAATAACACCAAACAAAATTTGCACCTCCTCAATTTTCAAGACTGATTCAAACAAAAATCATCTTCATCAGTATGCCATCGAACATGAAATAAATCCTAAAGAAATTTCAATCATTACAGAGCCTGAGAAAAATAGGTGGGCCATGGGGTGTTTTTGTGGGGATTTGGAAAGAGATATATATTTCTATCATAACGCAATAAAAAGAAAAGAAGATCCTAGAAAATATCGTAAATTTTTAACAGATCGTGATAGGCTGGTTGGTGAAGAGTTATTACGTCAAGGTATACTAAAAATGGTCTGAGTACTGCATAGCTCGATGATTTTATAGAAGAATGGTAAAAAATCTATGCTCAATTCACACAGATATCTTTTGAGGAAAAGACTTTACATATTCACATATTTTTGGAATTATTGTTTATTTTGACGCACCCCAAAAATTAGGTAACACAAAATGCAAGGTAAGTCAGCTAGTTGACAACCAAT